TGCTAACAAAATTTTAGTTTTGTGTCCAAATGTCGTCCGAGGCGGTCCCGCTGCCATTCCCGCAGGTCTCTCCGGAGGATATGATGTAAGCTAACGCTTCGTATATTCACCCGGGCTTGATTTCTTCTTTGATCATTTTTTCGCTTTAGTTCCCTCTTCTCTTCCTCACTGTTGCTTCGTTTGGGCTGTTCTATTTAATCCCTCCTGACCGCCAGGGGGCGGTGCATAGCACTGAATTCAGTGCACATGCAGGGAACATTCAGTGCTATGCATGAACTCATTAGAAAATAAATTGGGTATTGCTTCTTTAAGTATTTATTATTTATATTTATTCTGCCCATCCACCAGTACATTCTTCATAATAAGAATTCAGAATAAATGGTTTGGCTCATTTGACCTGTAGAAGCTTGCTAACATTTCCTTTCAAATATTGTTGAACTCGTCTTCCGCACCATTTGGTTCATTCCGTTGCCTTTGACTCTTTTGTAATTTGTAGAAAGTGTGCTTCTTTAAGCCGCCTCCTTCTTCCTTGTGATTGAGTGGGGGGGGCCGGTCCTCTGTCCTTAACTCTGGTCCGAGGTCCGTAAGTTGAGAAACCGGGTCTTAACCTATAACCAGCCATGGAAACAACAGAGGCTGAGGGAAACCTGATCTTTGACTTGAGCAGCTCCCACGCACCGCCTCCTTGTGTGTGTGTGTGTGTGTGTGTGTGTGTGTGTGTGTGTGTGTGTGTGTGTGTGTGTGTGTGTCTTTACTCTCAGCTTTCTCTTGTGTTCGTCCCCTCTTTTCAACCCTCCCCTTGTCCTGCCAGGCCAATCTCTTAATCACAGGGTTCCAGGGAGAGTGGGAGAGTATTGTAAAACCAGGTGACTTTATTTCCTTACTCCCTGTATTGTCTTCAGAGGAGTGGCCCAGCGCTAACCGTGTGTGGACCAGCAAGCTCAAATGTTGTGTAATTTTGCCAGTAAATGGGAAATCCACAAATGCATGTTGAATTAGTCTTTTGAATTTGACATAAGGTGCTTGTATTATTGCTGCGTTAACAAATTTATTTCACTTTGCTTTCACTTTGTATAATATCAAGCAACTTCTTGGCCTTTGTTAAAATAAATAAAAGAAAAAGAAAACATATATTAGTGATACTGTATGTGTAATGGTAGGTAGGATTTTCAAACCTTCAAAAAGAGGTAATTGATATTTCCCTTTTGCAACACAAAACACACACACACACACACTTTTCTTTGCATGTTCTCCAGTGTCTATGTAGGTTTCCTCCGGTTGCTCCAGTTTCCCCTACCACTAAAAACATGTTCAATAGTCTCCACTAACACCTTCCCTTTCCTTTCTCTCTGAGGCCAGGACACCCCTGAAAAAGAATTCTCCAATCTGGTTAAATAAATAAATACAAAATTAGTTAAAATACCTTTTTATGCAATGTCTCAGACCTAACTGAGCGTTTCAGGCAACAGGCCTTCATCAGGGGACATCAGTCTACAAAAAATATGATCAAATATGATCAGGCAAATTGAGAAAGTATGACATTATCTTTGGTAAAAATCAATAAATGTGCCTTGTTGGACAATAATAGGACTTTAGATGCTAAATAAATTGGGGAGAGAAGCATGTGTTTATGCTGTATTCAAAAAGAAGTTTATTTTTTATTTTTTTTATTTTACAACTCTCTCTGGGCCTACATTCCCTAAGACATTAATATCAACCCAGCGCTTTTGTCGGCCATGTTTTGAGCGCACACATGATGGGATTACGGCCGCGGCGGTGGCAGATTACCTGTAACTGTGATCTGTTGTTGTGGGGATTAACTTTGCTGAGCTCCACGCTGTGAGGTAACATGACGCAGCAGGGCCCCGCGGTGCTCAAGCACCGGCCGATAAAACCACATAATCCTCCTCTGACCAGAGAGAGAGAGAGAGAGAGAGAGATATATTCACCTGAACTTCACTTCCACCAGGAGGAGGGACGGGAAAGAAGGGAGTGGCAAACAACTCATTTAACCTCTGTGATCTATGGCATTACTGAGCCGTTTCCACCAATAATGCATCCATCAGAGCTGAGCCACCCAACTCTCAAATCTTTTTATTTATATGGCACATTTCATAGAACAAAGTCACTCAAAGCGCTTCACAAAGTTTTTGTTTTAACAAAATTAAATCCATGTAACTGGTTCCTTGCTCTCTCTACTTCTACCACAGGTTCTATTCACATGCATGAATTCTTGGCCTGACATATTTAGATTTAGCTTTTTTTAAATGAGAGCCAATCAGCTCTCAGTATGTGAAAGATAACACACATAGACAAATAATCTTGCCTTGCCTTTCCACTGTCAGAGATTATAACTATATAGCAGACACAACTATATCTAACTTAATATTGGAGGTCTTGTATACATTAAAAAAAATCTGGTTAGAAGCCCCAGTATACCTCAAAAATAGGATTTGACGCCCCATCTTGTATTGAAATAGGGTTAGAGGCCCTAGTATAAATCAAAATAGGATTTGAGGCCCCATCTTGTATCAAAAAAGGGTTAGAGGCTGTGTAAGAACTAACCTACACAAATAATTCAATTGCTGGTTCAAAGCCTGTATTTCTTCTCTTTCGAACACATTGTAATATTTATGCCCTGGGGGATTTTAATGTTTAATGTCAAGCACTTGGAGTGGCCTTGTGTATGAACTAGGGGTGGGCGATATGGCCTAAAATTCATATCGCGGTATGATTTGGGTCACAGACGGTAGACGGTATACATCACGGTATAATTTGGTGTGTGAATTTCAATATAGGTTTAGCAGGTTCTTGCATAAAATAGTCAAGATTGTTACTTATCTATACATTAGAATCTGATATATATTTTTTGAGTTTGAAAATCAGGTGAGAGACAAATGCTGTAACATACATTATTTATGTATGTTACAGTAAAGACCATTAACTGTGAAAGCAATTTTAAATAATATAAAAATATAAAATATATTATATAATATCTGTAGCAGTTAGACATGGTCATTATTTATAGTGTCAGAGTTTTAGTGCGTATGCATGGCTTCAGTAAAAGCTATTGTTCGTTTACAAAGCTAGTCTTGCCATTTGTTGACGCTCCCTAAGCGCTTGCTGTGAACTGGATGATTCAATGGATTTATCTGCATTAAAACAGCGCATTTGATTTGAACAATTGATGTAAATGCTCATTTTGGCACAATTAATTTTGTTTAACAAAGTAGCTTTCGTGATCTATTGACCGCGGAAGTCTGAATCGGACGCTAACTTTACAAAACTTCTGAGATGATGCGGACACGGCACAAGCATGGATCTATTTTGGCTCACGATGGCGCTTCGAGCCTACGCCCCTTTGACACTCATTGGCCGAAAGGTAGACATGTAAACTGTGATTGCTGTGTGTGTATTTACCTCTGCTGGGGCCGCTGTGACCAATACAGAGACAGAAACACGGTGTGAAAGCCGTGCTGTTGTTTCCAGTGGTGTCTGCTAGGCTAATAGTGCTAGGCTAATGCTGCTGAATGCCGGTTTGTTTTGGTCCTTTCTGCTGGCGTCAGAGCCTGCGCAATTTGATGACATGATGACCCATCGCAATATGCCGGTATAACAAAAATCTCTACCGTGGGCCAAATTTATACCGCATACCGCTTATACCGTTTATACCGCCCAGCCCTAGTATGAACAGTGCTACACAAACACGCCTCGCCTAAATCTTTTAATGGCTGTGTGGTGTAAATAAAATTATCAAAAACACACACAAAACATATTTTGCCTATTAACGTAATGCCACAAGCCAAATGCATCATGTGCGAAATCAAAAGCCTTCAGCAAAGCATCTACTTCTTAGACCCGAACTGACGAGCCAACAAAAGGGCGACAAATCCATATTTTGACCAGGGGAAGAAGCCCAAAGAGGAGCTTCAAGGCCAGAAGATTTAGTTTTGTTATTGTGGACGAGTAAGAGGTCCATAGTAGGAAAAGACACTCGTCCTCAATTAGTCCGTCGGGCCCCGGGACGCAGCCTCTTCAGCGCTCTTTTATGAACACCCTTTTCTTTTTGATCAGCTTTTTACTCAGGCTCCTAGTTAACTCATAGTCAGCCTTCTGCCCATCGATCCGTCCGCTGCTCACACTGTATTCCCAGGGCATTCACGTTCTCAATTGCTTTTGCTTTTTGCATAGTCCCCTGCTCTCCACCCTCCCTCCCTCCTCTCGCCCCTGTCTCTCTCTCACTCTCTCCAATCTCTCCACTCTCTACCTTTCCCCTCCGTGAATTCTGACCTTCTGCAAATCGTGGCCTGCCAATGAAATGCTCATTCAGATCCCGTGGGTACATTGTGGCTGCGCGACCATGTGCTGTCAGGACAAGTGAAGAGCTTTGGCATTGTGCTCAAATGTGCTGTTTGCTTCAGTGTTCTCCGTCAATGTCGAATCAGCTCCCCCATTTTTTAATATGAAATCCTTTTCGCTCAAGTGCTTGTCAACAGCAACTTAGAATTATGCTCACATCTGCGCTTTGGTGAGCGGAAAAAATGGCAAAATATTTTTTTTTTGAGAGCAGTAGACCTTGGTAAGGCAGAGAAAACTGAACTTTGTCTTTTTTGTTAAAGCTGGAGGCCAGTTTTGAATTTCTCGTCGTATGGGTTTAGCTTTATAGTCTTTGTCTTTCTTTCTTTTTTGTTAGTGGTCTCCAAGTGTTGCTGTATAAAAAAAATTGATTTTTCATTATGCCTGTAATTGGTGTCTCCTTTATTTTTGACTTTTTGCAACTGTCTGGAATATTTTGTCAAACAGTGTCCGTAAGATTATAGATTGATAGATGGATAGATACGTACATAGATAGATACTTCAGGTGTCCAGTGGCATCAAAAATAAGATTGATCATTCTAAAAAGCTAATAATAGTAGTTATCAGCCACATGTTACAGATTATTTTATGATTTTAAAAGCTGATTGATTATTTTAACATTTGTGTCGTGTGTGTGTTTTCAGACAAACCTGCCCATCTTTAAGCTCAAGGAGTCATCTGTACGGCGACGGTACAGTGACTTTGAGTGGCTTCGAGCTGAGCTGGAGCGGGAGAGCAAGGTAGAGGATTTTTAATTTATTGCATTACATTTACACTTCATTACAATCCAAACATTTGCATGGGCTACAACTTATTTCTCCTATCTTTCTGTCATTTTCCAGAAATTTAGTTTTTTGTTTGTAAATTTATTTCAAAGCTGCAGGGGTATAAAAACATAAACACAAAAATACAAAGTCAGCTTGGTTTGAACACTTGGCTTTAACAACAAAAATACACACTCACACAGAAGACTCACTATATTTGTCATTTGCAGTAAAACCACATTGGAATATTTGGTCAAAAGTGCTTCAGTGTGCACCGGACGGTTCCCTGTCTCTGCGCCATGTTGGATTTTCCAATCAATTATCCCATTCTCATTTGACTTCCAAAAAACAACCAAAACAATTGTAGAGATGATCGCCTCATCTTGTGGATCGCGCCTTAATGAATAAACCATAAACTGTAAACCCCAATTATTGTCCTCAGTTATTAAATAAACATCAATTCAACAGTGTCATAAGCGCTGCCAGTGTCTTCCCCAATTCTTTAAGTAATAGATAAATTATCTGCTGTTTACACATGCAACAACCAATGCAAGAGTAGTGATTTTAAGACTCAAAAGTAATCAGATAATGTATAAAAATAAGAAAAATTCCTCCCATATAAAAAACAATAAGGTAGAATGTCATAATAATAATTCATAATTCAGTTTTGACAGAAATGAACACAAAATATCAGAGCTGATTTCTAAACAACTGAAAGAATTATAGATAGAATAATTGATTATCAAAATAATCAGTCATTGCTGCCAAATATTCAGATGTTTTATAATTTTACTTTACGGCAAAAACATAAACTGCTTCATAGAGCACAAATTCAAGTGAGTTTTGCACATTTATTAACATTTATGGTCATCCCGCCCCCTCTGGACCAATGGCTCCTATGTTGATACTTTTCCTGTGTTTGATTCTCTGATCTGGTGATGGCGAATCAACAACTTTGTAAAGCCCTAAATCAGTTGTGGTTTAGGGCTATACGGACGTAAATTAAATTAAATTGAATATTTATAGATTATAGATCTATGCTTTTGTCTTAATGTCATGTTCTGTGGATTATGATGCAGAAATACATTAGTTTCTCTTTGTTAGTGATTCTGTGACGCCCTTTATTGTCAGTTAAATGTGTTTTAATCTGTGGGGAGTTGATGCAAGGCGGCCCAGGAATTTACAGGAATTGGCTTTTTGCCAAGAAGAATGAGCAGCTTTAGCATCAGAGAGTCTCATCCACAACTACCACAAAAGACTGCAAGCTGTTTCTGATGTTAAAGGGGAAATACACGTGACTGAGACCGGGGGATGGAGATTTCTAATCAGGGTCATTTGGGCACTTCCTGTTGTCGTTAAAATTCAAGAAAAGAAAACAGGTGAGTGAAAAAAGTGATGTGATGTCATGGCTTCGTACGACTGTGACATGTTAGTGCCATATGAACCAACTACTCACAGGGACTGGCCTCCTGCTGGTGCCCAGAGTCAGGACTAAATATGGGGAGGCAGCATTTTAGATTCATGCAGCAAATATCTTCCTGAAAATGTGACAAGGTTCAAATCTAAACTGTTGTGTTTAGCTGCTCATACGACTTCTTTATGTGCTTTGATTATTTATGATTTTAATGTTTATTTGTTCTTGTTCGTTAAGCACTTTGAGTCGCCTTGTGTTGGAACTGTGCTATACAAATATTTAAGGACATTTCTTCACATCTAAGGACATCTATTTGCATTTATGGACATTGGTCATCCGGCCCTAAATGTTTTCTTTTTCATTGCATTTCCTGTGTTTGAACTGTTTGATTCTCTGATCTGTGTTGGCGAATCCACAACTTTCCAAGATAGCCCTCCAAGATGACTACGATTGTTATATAGGGCTATACAAAAGATCATTGAATTGAAATAAACTTGCCATGCCTGTGTTATCAATTATAAACCTTGAATAATGGCCAAACAAAACAATCATAACTGTATTGGAATACTGGTTGAGCTTTGATATTTACAGTCTATGATGGAGAACTTATGTCGCTGACCTGTTTTTCCAGGTGGTCGTCCCTCCTCTTCCCGGTAAAGCTCTCTTCCGGCAGCTTCCATTCCGTGGAGACGACGGCATCTTCGACGACAATTTCATCGAGGAGCGACGACAAGGACTGGAGCAATTTCTCAACAAGTACGTTAGCATCCCTCGCGTTTACAGACCAGAGTCACAAAGCATTTGTCTCCCACTCCACACACAGAGCAGGGTCGACAGTACAGTGCTGTGTTTGTTAATCCAAGCCTGCTAGGTGTTAATAAGAGATGGAAACTCTTAGATGTTTTACACAACACAGAACAAGTCTAATAGCGATGATCTAACTCCACAAAGATCAGGAAAAAGGCACGGAAGAGGTCTGCGTCGGAAGAGGAAAGTCAGACTTTGAACCATTTATAATAACCAGTTACTGTATAAGAGGGGGACTGAAAGAATAGTTTTGGATCAGGGCTGTCTAACTTATTTAGGTTCCTTTTCTTATAATTGTTCTTTACATAATGAAGGTATTTTCAATATCGATATTAATATTTGAAAATTATTTTAGGAGCCACAAAGGCCCCGTTTCGATAGAGACGCTGCGGAGATGCTGCAAAGCAAATCACAAAAACGACGCAGCGTATCTGTTCTGTTCCACTCTGGAGGCTGTTTCTTGACACGCGTTTTCACCCGCACGAAACACCATCTTGTAAACGAAAACGTAAACGAAAGACCAATCCGATACCCAACATCGCAGCGTCCTTGTGTAAACAGCTCCTATATGGTCCTGTGAGTCGCATTTATCTTATCTTGTCTTCATTGAGTTTTTACCAAAGCCTGTCAGTCGATTTCAACTTTTTCACTTTTCTCTCCACATTGTTAACACACGTTGAAGCCAGTCTCCCAGTCCTCAAAGTACTCTCATAATTACTTACAAAACAACAAGAACAAGCAACGAAGAGACTCAAGTAGTAGGCACCCCCTCAACACCATTTTTCTCACATTTGTTTTATTGTTGATGGGTAATTTATGATAATTGTTGCTCAAATTACAGCGCGGAGTGAGCACCTCTGCGTATTTTTTGATCCAGTGTGTTCTCGTTTTTCAGCCGCTCGACAATAAAAGTTACACAGCGATTGTAATTATTTGCTTTGATTGCAGACTTGGCCATTATCCTTGTTTCATGTGCAAATGTTTCTGCATTTCCTGTTTAAGACTATTACGTGTGCCAAGACTGGGAGCGGAGAGAATTAAAAAGCATAAACGCGTTATAACCACGTCGAGGATTGCGTCGCGGCAATTAGCAATTTTTCTTTGTGAGTGGAGTAAATGTGCTGCCATTGTTCTGGAGTACTCCCAAGTTTTGATTGAGAGTATTGTGAGGAGCTAATGTAAGAACGTCAAATTGGATAGGTAACAGGTAAGTGAGAAGACATTTTTGATTAAGAGGCCAAACATTCTTAAAATCTATTGGTGCATCAAGTCATGAAGATCAACATTTCCCAAAGATATTAAACATTTATACCTCGGCCTCTTGATTGCCAGCCCTCGAGTTGCTCCCAGGGCCACTTAATCTTCCCTCAAGTATTTTCTATTACATGTCGAGATCTTCCTAAAGTGTACACTGTGGTCTCGGATAAAATGATTGGAAATGTTTTCTGTCTCAGCTGCACGGACCGATTCTCATCCAACTTCTGTCTGTGTAAAAAGCAGCTGTAATTAAGGGCATAGATGTCAAAATGACCACAGCGTCGGCACGGCCCCAGACGTCTCCATATGCAGATAATACCAGTTTAGTTTAGAAGATAAGGCTATTCAGATTATCACAAAACAACAATATGATCACAAAATAGGACTTGACATACAGGTGCAACTCTGGTCATAGAATATCCTTCAAAAGTATATTTATTTCTGTAATTCAAGATAAAATGTGAAACCAAAATACAATTTAGAGACTTATGGCGGGCCTTAATGCTGTTGATTATATGATTACACGGTCCTTTTTCAAAATGGTAATTTTCAAAATACATTTCAACTGGGCTGGATGTGATATACACTCGTTGTGGACCGCTAAAGTCATTACAAATACAATCGCAATTTAGATGCCAGAATTTCATAAGCACTGATCACTGATGCAATCCACTTACAGGTGTTTAGCTTTAGTTTGTGTATTGGTTCGATGTTTTATTCATTTGTTTGTGTACCGGCCTTCATTGAAAAAAAGTAGGCAAACGGATTGAACTGATTTACCTGTTTAATGTAATCCTAAAACCAATATAAAGACTAAAAAACAAGAGTTAAGTACATAAAATTGCCTTAGCATTTCAAGCTATGCGCTCTGTGTCCTCTCTGTGTTGTTTTGTATAACTGTGTGAATGTGGAGCAGGTTATCAGCCCTGCTTCAGTCAGTCTGCCCCAGGACAGCTGCGGTCACCGTGGCTCCTATGTGTGTGTTTGTGTTGTATCATTCTGCATATTTGAAGTGCTTTTGTCTCGTGTTGCAGAGTGGCCGGTCACCCTCTGGCCCAGAACGAGCGCTGTCTCCACATGTTCCTTCAGGAGGACTCCGTGGACAGGAACTACACCCCATCCAAAATCCGGCAAGCTTAGAGAAACCCAAGAACCAGTCCGGGAGGCTTTACCCACTGGTCCCCACAACAACAACAGCAACCCAAAGCTTTCTCTGCTCCAGGTCTATCACTTGACAAACACTACGAAAAATAAAAAACATTTCAATTATAACTCGCGATCCCACACACTTGAGTCCACTGCCTCGACCGTGTTCGAACGCCATGTTGTCACTTTTTTTGTCACGAATGTGCGATACAGCTGTGGTTATTTATAGTACGTTTTCTATATGTCTGAACATGCCACTAATGGATATATTATCTATTTATCGTTTAACAGTCTTTATCCATTTCTCTAGTTACATAATATTGTGTGTGTATATGCTGAGCTCGCGCACTTGGCCGAGAATCTCCAGAGAGTGGGGAGGGGAGGGGGGGGGTCAGTAGAAGCAGCACGTGTGGCGTTCAAGAGCACCTTTCTCCGTTATTATCACAGATTTTATAGCAAGGAAATTACACAGAGGGAACTGCAGTATTTCTACAGGCTATATGCATTATGAGATTTGTATACTGCCGTGCCATTTTTGTTTATGTTGAAGATTTTCCAATAAAAAAGATGAAATTGTGACTTGTAAATGTGTGTTACTTAATCCTAAAGAAGTATATATGGGAGAAATGAAGATTATTTAGAAGAATTATGAAATATTTATGAGAAAATGCCTAATTATTGTGGGTTTTTCTATATTTATACTCAAAGGCACTTTACAAAAGGATTGGTAAGTAAGAAAAAAAGCTAAATAGATATAAAGCTAAAATATACAGTTTTGTGTACTGAACAGAACAGGTGGGTTTTTACTAGTGATTCAGAGTTCTGAAGTGTTGTAGGAAAAAGTTTTGGAGAGACGGGGCAGCTGCTGCGAAGGCTCGGTCCACCATGGTCCAGTACTTTTATTCTGAAAAATAGATTGAAAATATTGTAGTTTTTGTGTAATTATTATAATGAGGTCGTACCACTGACAATATAATACAACCAGGACTATAGCACATTTAAACCATAGACTGTATATTAGGGGTGGACTGATTAAGTCCTGATCAGTGTTAGCGGAATGCGGAAGAAGCCGATTTGAATGTAAGCTCGCTGAAGCTAATTTCCTAATATGCATTTGTTCTGATGGGATTGGCTTTGCACGGTAACAGGGGCAGACATGTTGCTAACATGGTGGCTATGGCAGGCTGGAGTTTCCCCTGCAAGTGAAGGTATCTGGCTGGTCAATTCGTATGGCTCCCATGTGGCTTTACAAATACATTATCAAAATATAAACTCCAGGAGCATAAACCATTTTTTTTCAATCCAAAAATGATGAGTGTGTCTTAAACGGTTACTGAGCTACAGGAGTTTACTTTTCAATGTAAGTCAATGGGAGTAAATCTTCCCTTTTGGACTTCATCGAGCTAGCGGGTTAGCATTGTCCATTTATATACAGTCTATGATATGAACACATTTACAACAAGCATTATTTTTATCGTTTTTGTTCAAATTCCCAATGAAAAACATTTAAAAAACTGATGCAATGTTGTAACACAGATAATTTTATTTAACTCTTTTCTTCCATTGTTACAACTCTAAATTGTCATAACTTAATTATGACAATAACATATTTACAAGCAATTTAAAAACACCACAGGCCACAACCACATTTCCAAGTGCTGATTATACTTTAGTGTTAGGGTCTAACTTTACAAAGTCGACGTTTACACATTTTTCTGTGCCTCAAACGGGGCGTGAACAACTATTTACCAACATCATATGTCACACAGAATTTAGCTCCTGCAAAAGTCTGTTCTGTTAAATCTAGTTTGGTTTCAGCCCCATTTAGAGACAGCGGCTCACGTCCCCATATCCCCAGGCCTGTCACGGGAATTACTATCAACTTATGGTTCAATAACTGATGAAGGAAACAATATATTATGGGCCACAATATTCATAGTCTGACATTTTCTTTGCAAAAGTGGAGAGAGCGTTTCTATTTATTTGCAATAAGGTGAAGTTTTAGTTGTAGCGGGTTAGAATTATTTTCATAGATTTTATTAACATCTATTGATTTATAGTTTGTTAATACGTGGGAGTGGACTCACTATTTGTGCCAATAGTGATGATCCAGGACATTTAATGACATTTATGGACATTGGTCATCCCGCTCCCTATTGAGCAATGGCTCCAATGTGTTTGTTATAAATTATTATCTCTAAACTGTTGTTAGTGAATCGACAACTGTGCAAAGTCCTTTGAGTCTACTGCTGTTGTGATTTAGGGCTGTAAGAAAAATTAAAATCCAACATTATCAATACAAAAGTGAATTATATTAGTGTATTATCATCAGTGGCATAAAGTAGTTTCAATATTATTGTTCATCCCCATAATTTACAGAAACAATTTATGGTCCAGCTAAAGGAGCTACCGTGACAGGCCCACATGGTGTCATCTTTTTGGTTTCCTCCATTGGGATTGAATATAGCAATTAAAGATTGAATTGGTCAAGATCATTGGTCTCATAGACACAAAACATAAAACATTTCTTTGTCAAATATACTCCATTCAGAGTCACAATATATTTTACATGGTTGACATTATCTTAGTCTTCACCAAAGATTGCGTTTTTATTCATTATGATACAAACGTGTGTTCTGTAAGTTACAAGCTAATCTTTACTAGACCATCTGTTAAAGGGCTACTTGGTAAATAAAGTCTTTCCAGTTTTGTTTCCGTGGAGCCTCTTGGGCAGAAATGGCTCCATGGGGATTGTGTGTTTTCAAAAGTGCCCCTTTTGTCGGCAAGTTCTTATTCAAGCCTCTGCAATAGTCTTTTGTGAGCGCCTCATATATCGCTGGACTTGTACATGTCGGAGAGCAGTCTGGTGATAGGAACGTTGCCGATGGTCTTCTTGAAGAAAACCTCCTCGATGGTGGACGGGCTGATGGAGCGGAGCGACGGGAGAAGAAGGAGCAGTTTCCCAAAGCGACAAGGCTGGGTGGGGTACCTTCAACACATAACGTATTCAGTTAGCAGAGGTCTTTTAACCCTTTAAATCTGAATTATATCCCACTATATCAGGGATGTTAAAGTAAAATACATCAGAGGGCCCCAATGAAAAGTATAAATGTTTTGTTTGTACTCAACTCAAAAAGTTAAATGCATTTTTTCTCAATAATATTAATAATCTAATACAATATAAATATAATTGATACAGTTTAAGCATTACCTTTGCACATCTCAACAACATCATACTATTGTAGAAATGTTTTTGCAGAGAGGATGACAATGAACCAAACATGTACAACACAAGCTGAAAGGTTATCGGAATTACCGCTTCAACTTGTTTTGTATGTCATATAAAAATAACTGGCCTTTTTAAAATATAGGGTTAAGAGTAAAGAAGTAAAAAGTTGGTATCGTTCAAAGTAAAAATGCCTCGGTTTTAACAGCAGACATTACTTATGAAACTGTATACTGTTTTAGAAATGTATTTGGTAAACATGTAAATAATACATAATGTGGGGAAACACTGCGTATGAGCGTCGATTAGTGATGATGCAATCAATCTGAGTCGTCCAATCACTGCACATCTGCAGCCAATCAGCTTAATGAAGCCCTCATCAGCTGCACCTGTGGCTAATTACATCACAGCGACAGCCACTGGTGCCAAACAACATCTATAATTACATGTATCTTTCACCAATAGGACGCCTTGAATTCACAAACTAGAACTCCCAGAGCAGTCATTTTGAAGGCTCCCATCAAATCAATGGAATTCTGAAAAATGCCCCAAGAAGTTTTATTAAAAGTATGTCGTTCGGAAGGTTTCTACCTTAACTCACTTTTAATATAGTATGTGCTAAAGCTAAACTTGAAATACAGCAAAACAGTTTGGTGAAAGTCTAATGCTAAAGACCAAATGCTAACTTCTGGCTAGTAAACTGTGTGGAGACTGAACCGAGACCAGTCAAGGACCAGCAGTACTTTGGAGAAAAACAGGTCTAACTGCCATAAAGAAAATGAGTACCTTTTTAATGAGTCAAAGGTAGAACTAGTCACATAAAAAATAAAATAAAATGTAATTCATAAAAATAATGACAAAGAAATAAACTTATAGAAACAGAAAAAGTCACAAAGTTATGAAGACTGACAATGTACACCGAGTAATTACACTTCCAAAACTACAAACCCAATCTTTACCTTGTGTGTATGTAACTGTTGAGCGTGAGTTGGGCCTCGTCTTGTAGCGCCGCGATCGCACTGGCGTTCCTGAAACTTCTTAACTCGGTGGCTCCGTGCGTGGGAACTGGGAAAAACAGAGTAATAAATATACAGGGCCCTATATGCTCCGTCCTCGCTGCTTTTGTTTGATTCATAATGTCGTTGGCGTCTAATGGCGGCTCTATAGCACGAGGCTCTCACCAGCTTTGAAGGTCACGATGCATTTCAAACAGGCGAACTCGGTGGCATCCAGTCTCATCTGCCTGAAGCGTGTCACCACCTCCTGAAGGGCCTGGATCTCCAGCATGATCTTATTCAGCCGCTGCGAGTCTGTGTTGTCTGCGTTCATGCCTTTTGGAGAGGAGAGAAATGTGGGTTTTAATGATGCAAATGTGAACAATAATCAATCAAAATGAAATAAAACAGAATATGTGTACATGGTTTGGAACGGGATTGGATGAAGCAAAAATCTTCTCGCAAATTTAAACACACAATACAATGCAATACAAAAACAAATACATATAGTACTCATTCACACAGGCCCAAACACTCCCCGACCCTACGCCTCTCTCCCCTTCCTCGCTAATGTCTTGAGAATTGCTGTCACTATACTAAAATTACAAACACAATTTCAATATGAGTAAAAAGTCACTATAACAACAATATTAATGATTACTTTAAAATGTATGAAGTTGTAAGATATTATATAAAACACTTTTTTTTTTTTAAACTGCTCAAGAATCTCCCTAGCATCAAAACTATTCATTTCAGAAAGTAGGAATACTGAAAACATTGCAGTAATCTTCAGTAATATTTTATTGTTGATACTTGACAACCCTAATCTCGAGTCAAAAATATGATTAAGAAGTTTTCTCCTTTTGGTCCCCACATGTGTTTCCTAGCAACTATAAGTGGGCTCTATATAAAAAGTGTATATAGCAAACTTACTTTTTAAATGCCAAATTAAAATGCAATGTTTTTATTACGACAATTAAATGTATGCATTATGTTTCATTTTTAACACCAAAAAAACACACATATGTCCAAAATCCTGTGCACATATGTAGTTAGATTTAACATTTCTGTTTTTGTTTTTTATGATAAGACACTCAATCTGCCTTGGCCCCAATGTACCCTGGTTTGTGTATGTGTGTATGGGTTGGTTCCTATGACCAATTTTTTGGTATAATCTTTGTGTGACTACAGTTCTGACTTTCGGCTGTATGAAACCTGTGTTGTTAAAGGTTTAAGAGCGATGGAACTCTCACCAGAAACTGCGAGTAGTGTTGTTGCATCGACAGGAATGGCCCACTGTGCTATTCCCAGGACGAACAACTCCCTCCAGGCGTCTTCCAACAAAATCAACTGTAAAGAGAGAGTCACAAGTTTCAGGCTGTTTTTGTTAGCTTAACACAGTATACAGGGTTCTTCATCTCTTCCAAGATTTTTGCACATCTTGTCCAGAAATAGTGTGAAAAATTCTCCGCTTCTTCTGACCTCTCCGCCTCTCTCCATATTTCTCCATATTCTACGACCAACTCAATAAACTCCAATTCCCAATACATTTTTGAATTAGTCCAGCTAGGATCACTTACAGCTACATATTTTTCATATAGGCCAGTTTTCTCACTACTTGATTGGTGATTTCAATGGTTTTGTTATGTCCTCTGAGATGACTTCTGTTGTGACCTAGGGCTATACAAGAACGAATTGTATTGTATTGTATTTCTACTTCTTTATTGACTGGACTAGAAACCTCACTACTTTCCGTCCGTAACTAATACTTATTTGTTTGTCCCAACAGAGACAGACACAACTTGCTTACTTTTACTTTTCCCTGTGGGCTCAGATCTGATTGGCTGAGAGAGGACAGTCCCCTGTTTTCAACTTTTCTACCTAAGAAATCCGATTAAAAGATGTGAAGGAAGCCAGAAAACACTATTGATCAAACCAAACTGTTTTGAGAGAGAAGAACTATGACATGGATTTTATGACATAGGTCATAGTTAGGTGCCCCAGATTCCCCCAGATGAGCTGGAGGAAGTGTGTGTGGATAGGGAAGTCTGGGCATCTCCGCTTAGACTGCTGCCCCAGCGACCCAGCAACAGATAAAGCGGAAGAAAATAAGATAAGATAAGACTTGAATGGATGGACATATATTTCGAGGGATGGGCATCCATTGGTCACTTATCTGTAATAATGTGTGTATTTATATATTAGAATTTTTTTGGGGATTTTTGTATTTATGCATGTATTTTTAACTTTTGTAAAACTTGTCTCTACTCCTAGTTTGTGACTTACTTACAATGGCAATAGTATATTTTTCTCTTAGATTATTGTGTTGTTTTCATTAGTTCACATTATTTTCCTGTTATATATACAACATACAACAACAACATTTCTTTTTTTTTTATCCTTTACCCCCCTTTATCTTCCTCTTGTTTTGAAAAATCAATACGGGAGATATTGTAATAAAGTATTAAACAATAGTTAAAACAAAGCAGAAAAACGCATTCAAAAACAAAAAAGGACAAAGTCTATGTCTTCACTCTTTTTAACGCACTGTGATTGTTTTTATTTTAAAGCCTTGTTGTTTTGTTCTGCTCTTTGAGTTTCCTGAACTTGCCTCTCTTTGCCTTTGCCATTGTGACACTGTTTACGTCAGTGGCGTCAAACACATTTGGGTCAGGGGCCGAATGAAAAAAATATGAATACATTTTTTTTAACTTGTCTCGGCCAAAAGAAAAGAACAAATTTCCTTTTCTTATGGTTTCTTATTCTTTTTATTGTTTCTTTTGTTCTTGTTTTTTATACTGTACATAATGAAGGTACTTTTACATGACTTTTATGTGATATGAGTTTCACTGTTATATTCTGGTTGATTTTTATTAAAAACGAAATGTGTTTCTTGTTTAGATTGAACCAAAATGGGACTAAATATATAGTTAAACACATTTTATCATATTTAACTATTGAACTTGATGTATTGGGTTAAAATTTGGAGAGAAATTAGGTGATGTATAACATGCCATGAGTACGATCAATGCTGTAAGTTAATAAGAATAATTGAAAATCATTTTAGGGGCCACTAAAAATTGTCTTGTGAGCCGAATTTGGCCCACGAGCCTGCAGTTGGACATGCCTGGTTAACATGGCCTGACATATGAGGAGAGACGGGACATATTTACCTGGTCGGACAGCGGCAGCGTGGAGAAGGCCGGTACGCTCTTTGCCCACTTGATGCTCATGAAAAGCAGGCGTGCGGCGGACTCGCACACTGACTCTGTGGCCACCTCGTACAGGTACATGGGGGTGGCGCTGACCTCGTGGGGGTACTGGGGGGTACACAAGAGTCACAGTGAGGCCCAGAGCACGACAACAACACCAGGGTCAAACTCCAGCGGCCACCTGCCTCCACATTAGCCAGCTTTATGGGATTTCAACCACAAATCTAATGTGCGGATTTCAGGTTATTACCGGCTGCTTAATCTCTGCAGGAATGTCAACTTCTAACCCTGTGGAATATCCTGTGCTAATAATAATAAATTTAGTAATGATAATAATTTTTTTTGTTCCTTTCATCTGCAGGAGGGTCTAAGGACAGTGATGATCCAGGACGTTTAAGGAGATTTATGCATATTTATTTACATTTATGGACATTAGTAATACTCTTGGAATAATGGCCCCAATGTGTTTGTTAATATTGTATTTTCTCTGTTTGAACTATTTCATTCTCTGATAAGTTGAGGAATCGGCAACTTTGTAAAGTCATCCCAGAGGACTACTTTGTGATTTTTTCAAAGATCTATTGAAAAAGGCCGGGTCTAAATCTAATCTTTACTTTAGTGCTGTATACAATTAATTGCAAATTAGTTTAAATGACAGTTTTTGTGGTTGCACATTCAAATCTTTGCAAAAAAAAAATTTTTTGGGGGAGAAATCACTTGCATTTGAGAGAATGTCTTCTGACTTAACAATTGTATCTATTTTCAGCATTATTTTTCTATTCCAATTAAGGCATCTCCTCTTTTTCCAAATTGATTGTCAACATGTAAGTAAGTTCTTCAGTAAGTACGTTACCAAAGCGATTTTCAATGTTCAACTACCAGACTTTTATGAGAAAAGACAAAACAGATTTAATTAAGTAAGTAAGTAAGTAAGCTTTATTTATATACCGCCTTTCACAGACCAGAGTCACAAAGCGGTTTACAATTGTTATTTTTTGGGCACTTGTCCTCACTCCACACAGAGATGGGAGCGGGGTCGCCAAACAGGAGGCGCATGCCAGACCTATTGTACATATTTTTTTTTTTTTAGTGGTAGGGGAAACCGGAGTACCCGGAGGAAACCTACGCAGACACGGGGAGAACATGCAAACTCCACTCAGAAAGGCCCTGGTCCGGCCGGGATTCAAACCCAGGACCTTCTTGCTGAGAGGCAAGAGTGCTATCCACTCAGCCACCGTGCCGCCCATTAAAGCTTGTAAATGTATTTATCATTTTTTGCAGTGAATCTAGTAATCCTAAAATGGTTGTACTATAGGTTAGAACTAGAACAAAACCTTTACTAAAAGAGTTCAAGAGTTTGCTTGATTCTCTGATCTGGTGTTGGCAAATCA